CAGCACCAGCACCGTCACCCAGCACCAGCAACCTGTCCCGAAAGCGCGCACGGGCAACTCATTGTTATTTGAAGTAAGAACCCCATAGCTTCGCTATCTGGGGAAAAACACCGGAAGTCATCTGCATCTGCGGCTCTCCTCAGAGCCGCTACGAACCCAATATGAAGCTAGATCAACATGCTTCTTCACTGCGGAAGTGGATGGACTGCTTCCAACGGCCCGTGAACCTTCCGAAGTGCCCGTGGACGTCGTCCCCTCCGACATGGTCTCTTCTTCGTCCCGACATCTTCGCCTCTGAAGAGGCCCAAGGCAGTGATCTTCAGGGAGAGCTCGGTCGCCAGCCACCTCTCGCGACTCGCGCACCCGGCAAGTTGGCCGATGCCAGCGAGGGTCTCAAGGGGTCGGAGGCTTCGAGTCGGCTCTGAAAGGCAGAAAAAGACCGATCAAATCAGCCAGTCAGGGCTTTGTGGTTCAGTAAAGTTTATCCAGAAAACGTCATCTGGTGCAGCAATTAACTGGCGAATGTTCCAGTCCACGAGATATCCGGCCCATGAGATACAAAGCTGGTAGGGTTGGAAGCAGGTCTGATGTGTGGTGAGGCAACATTGTGCAGCTCCTTGACGTGATTGCCCGAACTATCGTCGGAACCTCATATGGAGGGTTTTCCCCGTAGTAGCAGGTGGTTGGAGCCTCGCAACCTTCACCTTGAGCTTTTGAGGGGTCCATGATTCTGTCAAGCATCACATCATGTGCTCAGCCAGGCCATTTGTCTTGACAGCTTCTTGTTGTAGATTAATGTCTGCTCACGTGGACCGGGCTTACTATTCTAGTGAGCCAAGGTCATAAAAGGCAAACTCCACGCTTTGCAAAAGTCAGTGTAGCCCAGGAGCGCACGAGCAGGTGCCCAAGAAGCAATCAACTGATTTCATTCCCTTCTCGTGAATGCGCAAAGATGCGCTCGCAAGACAGTTCCAACCCCCGTTGGGAGTATACTGAGTAAACAAAATCAACAAGCTCTCAGTCCCAGTATACAGGTGCCGATGCCGGCTTGCATTCATTGACCAATCGACCCGACCCGACGAGACCAGCCTGACAACCCCCAGTTTGTTCAGCATGCCGCTCATGCTCACGAGAATGCCGAACCAGGTCATCGTGGTCCAAGCGCCCTGCTCGGCACGAAGTAGCGTGGACGGACCCGGCGACGGCGAAAGCTTCGGTGGGATTGGTCCACGAAGAGCCTTTGAAGCACCCATCAGCTGAACGTCCTTGCTCCTAGTAGTACGGCCAGGAGCCCCTAGTAGCATAAGACCAACGCCACAAGCTGAACGTTGCAATGAATCTCTGTCGGCGGTTCCATGTCACCTGTCATCTTGCAACATCAACAACTTCGGCACGAACCACCAACACTGCTGGGGGGTCTTTGTCCTGACCCAATAACACTTCCTACACCTTGCAAACTACTAGGGGCTCCTGGCCTTACTACTAGGAACAAGAAGCTACTAGGGGCTCCTGGCATCGCTGCTAGGAGCAAGGACGCTACTAGGGGCTCCGTGAATGAAGATTGTCAGGGTCCTCCTCGGCGCTGAGACCCAAGTGATGGTCTTTACGAGCCTCTTCTCGCGCGCAATCGGACCAACTGAGCACGCCCGTGGCGAGCAGCACCTCTGGCTCTGACAGGGAGGACAAACATGGATAAACCACATGATCTGTGGATCGTAACGACATGTGACATGTCTTTTGGCCAACCGACATGTTCTGGACAAACAGGAAAGCAAAACAAAGCGTTTGGGATGTGAACCAACATGTTCGCGCAATCAGAGTCACATCAGACTTTCGGGCCTGCAGTTGAAAAGGGGTGGTTGCTCCATGAAAATTCGTACATGTTCTACAAATATTCCCACGAACCCCTTCAAGCAGCCAAAGGTCATTTTTGGGCTCTCGTGGTTATTCAATGTTTCTCCTATTAGCTCCAATTGTTCCTTGCTAAACCAAACCCTGAGCTATCCAATTGCCTGGTCGCACAAATGGTACACACACAACACATAGTGTAGCCTCCGAAACGATAAATGATGCACTTGGATTTCCCGGCGCAAAAGCCTTTGAATTGCCCAACCATTTCACCCTCGAGTTCGTGCTGGGCACTTTTCAGCGGCTTCCCATGATCGCATCATGTTCTAAGGGTTGGCTGACAGAATGAATCTCCGGAGCTCAGCATGATGGTTTCAGAACAAAACAATGTGGTGACATCCAAGATCAAAAAGAGGGATGGTCAAAACAATCTCAAAGAAATATAACTATTAACCTAGCCGTTGACCTGGCAGTTATTTGTAATTAAAACTGCCATGTGATCAAATACCAATTGGTCCCCTCTAGGACATGGAACTGACATGAACGGGCCATGTAGGTGAAAAGCGAGTGTCCCCAAGATCCCCATGTCCGTTGACACTCACATGAGTCACATCCCCTGGCGATATGCGCCGTCCGCTTGGCTCCGAACGCTCAGGCCCATCACCGCTGTGTGCACTGCTGGGATCCTCAGAAGGATCGAAGGTGCTGTGAAACACTGGGATACTGAGATGGGGATAGGTATAGGCGATTTGGGTAGGAGCAAGGATGCCACTAGGGGCTCCTGGCCTTATTACTACTAGGAGCAAGAAGCTACAAGGAGCAAAGGGCATCGCTACTAGGAGCAAGGACGCTACTAGGGTATAGGTGGTGTGGTCATCCCACATCCAACCACAAGGGTCATAAAGCAGCCAAGGAGATTTTGCGGCAAGTAACTGGTCACAAACAGGCCTCTTGGTGTTGAGCGTGCATTGAATTAGACACAAAAACTATGAAGTTTGGAATGTGTGAAGAATCAAACCCATCCAAGGTTCACCCCTCATCACCTCATCATGAGGTTCAACAATCCATCTGCCCACTTGGTGGGCACATCACGCGTCTCGAATCTCAGGGGACCCCACGAAGACCGGAAAGGAACGCTTTTCAACGACCCACGGCTCACCACACCACGAGCGCCTTGGCATTGCTCATCATGCCATCTTTGAACTTCAGCTAAAGAATGATTTCTGAGTACTTTGCAACTCCATAATTACACAACACACCCAGGGCACCAGGCCCAAAGCTGCTGGAGCCAGCCCACAAGGTGAGCATGCCCAAGATCACCGAGACCAAGATCAGCTGGGCACACATGTGAAAAGACTGGGGTGACAAGGGGTGACTGGAGGGAAAGGTGAGATTGGGGAGGGTCCAGGTTGGAAAAGACATGTTTTAGTAATTTTCGTTTATGCTTTATCAACTTGTGCTTCACAGCAGTTGGAAGACGAGTCATCCAACCATTCCGTATTTGCCCATGTGCAATTCAACTGCCTAACCCTGAAGGTCGTTTTCAACCCTTCTCAAAAGGCTTTGGCTGAGAACCCCCTGTGGGTCAGCAGCCCCCCCAAATTCACTGGACGGGCAAGGCCAGTCATTATGGATGTTGGACCCAACCCAGGGTCCTCATACGTCCCTCGCGTCCTCAGTGTTGACCGCCATCCACTCGACCATTCACATGACCCCACCGGACCCAATGACCTGAACTCGGAATTGATCGGACCGATGTCGGGGACGTCCAGAATCCAAAGACTGGGTCCCTGGCTACTTGATCTGGAACAGAATGGACTTATAAATAGTCGCCTACAAATGCACATATGGTTGGTTTTCAGGGGTTTGAGCAGGTTTTGACAACTCATTGCAGAATCAAGCAGGCCCTTCCAGACCAACTTGATTGGGAGAACTCCAGGAGTGTCACGGTTCCTGGGACCGTAGAAGGACTGTCACTGGTTGAGTAGGAGCAAGGACGCTACTAGGAGCAATTGGCATCGCTACTAGGAGCAAGGACGCTACTAGGAGCAAGGACGCTACTAGGGGCTCCTGGCCGTACTACTAGGAGCAAGACACTACTAGGGGCTCCTGGCCTTACCACTAGTAACAAGAAGCTACTAGGAGCAACCATTCTGCGCCTCTGGAACATCCCCTGAAGAAAGACAAGCACTTTGCAGATTCTCAGGGAATAGCCAACGTACTTGAGCGAGGAGGGGGTGAATGAAAGGTAGCAGGCAATCATGAGTAACTCTGGTAGAAGTCCATGACGGCATCAAAATTGGATGGATGTGATCCAAACAGCGACGGCGCAGGGGGGAATGATCCGCCCCCCCACGAACAGAATCATTACTTACAGGACCAAATTCAATGCACAATCCCAGCTCCAGATTGTAATATCCCTACCAATTACCTAGGGGGGCGTCACCTAATTGTAACTTACAATTTCCTAGGTTCGATACCTCAAAACATGTAACTTACAATTACTAAATCACCTGAAAAATTGTAACTTACAATTTTGAGTTAACTTACATTTTTCCAAAAATGTAACTTAAGTTACCCTTTTGAGGCTTCATTGAATAGTATGGCATTTCTCAAAAATGTATGTTAACAGTGTTCAGGTATGTCTTCCTGCAGTTTACACCACTGTTCAGGGGCCGAAGGGGCAAGCGGGTCCTTCGCGCCGGTTGGTTCCCCGCGGTTCGCCGTGGAGGTGCCATCCCTCACCGTGGTGCACCGATTTCACATTTAGGGAAAATAACTAGCTACTAAGAATTAATTAAGACAATAACTAAGAATAAACAAATTAACTAGCTACTTTTTTACACGTTTTCTCTCCCCCTGTCTCTGTGTCAATTCCCTTAACGGGTGTCGGGTCATGATGTGACCTCTTCACCTCTCGACCTTCGGAACCGGCTCCGTGTGTCTCCCCCGTTCACGACCTCGTGGAGTTCCCTGTGTCCCTCCCCGTTAAGGGAATAGACACAGAGACAGGGGGAGAGAAAACGTGTAAAAAAGTAGCTAGTTAATTTGTTTATTCTTAGTTATTTTCCTGGTCATATTCCTTCAGTTCCTGTCTTCCCTTGATGTTTCAAGAGTTTTGAGAGCATTTCTTAAATTAAAGGGTGCCACAGTGCAAGTATTTGATGGGGGGGGTTGAAAATGTAACTACACACATGTCGGAGGTAGTAAGTTACATTTCCCCCCCAAAGTTACATTTATTAGCGCCCCAAGTGAGTGATTTGTGTGGGGGTCGATAAATGTAAGTACAGGCCTCGGACGTCCAAGTTACATTTTCGAGGACGACCCCAGAAAATGTAAGTTACATTTTTGAGGCCCCCCCTCAAATCCATGGGTAAGGGGGTAGGGATATTGTAATACATTTTTGCTAAAGCAAGGAGAACTCAGGTAGCTCAAGCTACCTTTCGTGATTTGGGCTATCTCAGTTATACAATGCCAAAAAAGGCAGTATCCTCTGCCAGGATTTGGTGACCCCAAAACTGATAGAAAAGTTAATCCAGTCTACAGTCTAAATTAAAAGATATTGGAGAGCATGTCTACCTATTGGACCTCTATAATGGTGACAAAAGCTTGAGGCTCCTTGTCTTTCCTGCCTCATCTTTCGACATTGGACCCATCCTCAGCATCGGGAAAAGATTAATAAACGTTGTAACAAAGGCATACAAAGACCCAGCGCCGCATGATCAACCCTCCATATATAAACAGAATCAGAACCATGCAGTCATTCAAAAGCAATCTGCATGTGACATATGACTGCACCCCGACCTCACTCACACTCAAACAAACTTGCAGATCAGCACATCTCAAAATTCAGCAGCCCGGCCCCTTTATTTCACCGCTTTCACCCACCAATACCAACCATCCATATGAAGAACAATAAATGAATTGATTATATAATTAATGAACTAAACACATCAACATACATACATATATATATATATATTATATACATTCTATATTGATACACAATATACACAGGTATACACACTATTGAACCCCTTGGCACCACATTTGTTCGGCACTACACTGTGAAAACTGGACTTTCTGGCAAAGACTTGGACCATCTTGGACCTGTGTCCAAATTGGGTGTTTGTCAGCGACCACTGACCTACTGCAGGCTCTCAAATGGCTTCCATTTGTTGAAGCGGTCGCTTCTTCTGGCTCTGAGGACTGGTCGCCCTCAACTTCTTCTTGGCCTCCTTCGGGGCCTCCGGCGTCCGCTTCACCTGGTCGTCCGGCCAGTGAATTCTCCCGGGGAGATGTCGTCTTTGCCACCAGAATCAAGAAAAGCGAGTAATTATCTCCTCTACTATAAATTCAAAACACTGGAAGACAATAAATGCAACTCAATTTAGAAGGTAATGTTGACCTCTGATCAATAAACAGGGAAGACCACCCCACCACTCAGAACCCCAAATAGAGTTTATCCTCAGATTCCCACAAGGAAATGAAAGGGAACTAGTATTGGGGAGAGGTTCCTGGAATTCAGATCGAAAACACTTCGTATTGGGGAGATGGGATGAGATGGGCCATTTGTCGAGAATGGAGAGAAGGTGCTGTTGTAGGGGGCAGCTTCCACGAAACACAGAACCATACAGCTACCCCTCTGGCAGAACCATACAGTTCTCATGCCAAGGGAGTACTTGTCAGGCACCAAAACTCAAGACAGCTCTCCTCACCTTGAGACATGAACACGTCTTACCAAGATCAACCTTTAATTATCAATAATCAAAACAATATATCACTGTAATTAGGACATCCCAAAGCTTCCAACATAACTTTAGTTTAGTGGTGTTGGCAAAAGACCTCTTCTTTTGCTTGACATGTCTAGAAGACAAGTTATGGTTAGGTGATGGTGACAAGTCGGCGAAAGGACTTCGCCCAGGACTTGGTGTCCCAGCCTTCGGGGGCATTGCCACAAAGGCGACAAGCGGCGTCAAGACCTGGGGAGCAGCTTCCAGCGAGATGTCTCAAACAGCGTCTGGTACCAAACCCACTGGTGTCTCCGTCACACTTCGTCCATGGCCATGCATTTTTTGGGACATTCACTCTTCTCACAATCTTTTGGACATGTTTTTGTTTGGTACATTGTGGTACTCTGACTCTCGGGGCAACATGGACCTTCGCTGCTGGACCAGTCGAAACAACAGAGGTGATGTTGCTTCCTGTCAATACGATCGTTGGTTCGAAGCAATCCACGTCCTTTGAAGCTCACAACAAGCGTTTTGGTCCGCCTGAACACACGTCCAAGGTCAAGACCATGGCAGCCAAGGCTGGAACGCAGCTCGCCTGGACAAGACCCCCCAAACAACGTGACGCAGACTCTCCTTTTGATTTCAGGACCTTTTGGACATTTGGAGGCTTTTTTTTCGGTGAAGCGATTGAATGAATCAACAAATGACATTCTCAATGAACTTCTATCTGCCTCCCAACATCTACAACTTGGGTGCTAGTGTCCGGAGAGAGTGGTAAGACGATGGATACCAAATGGTCTTGCAAGTTAAGTATAGATTATATAACTAAACATATATTAATTGATATTGACATATAGTCATATCATATAGTATTACTTCAATACAGATCGATGTGATTCAATAGACCTGTCCGGTTCTCGAAAACAATCGAAAACACAGGGCAGTTTGGGGTCAGCCAGTCTGAGCTTGAACCCACCTTCCAATACCTGCAGCAAACATAATTCAATACACGCCGGCATGCAAGTTGTCATTCTGCCTCTCTGTTCCAAAAATGCTGATTACTTCTCAGAAAGGAGATGGACCACATGTGGTTATCTAACAGACTTCCTCAGAGGCGAACAACCGAGACTTCGATGCCACTCAGAAGTTCTAATATAATGTGTTGTTATGTGTTGTTTATGTTGTTAAAGTAGAGATACGTAGGCGACGCGGCGACACATCCGCACTGAACGACACAACATATAACTACAAACATTGACAATTAACAATAATTACCAACCACCAAGGAAACACACCTTGTTTCCTTGTTTCTTTACCTGATTTGACCATCTGCACCCCGCGACTCAACCATAAAGAGTGCCCCCTCTGCCACCACCCCAATTTGCCCATCTCCTTCAGCCAGCTGGTGAAGGGTGCATTGACCACATATCCCAGCTCAGCCGCCAGCCTGGCACCGCCGGGGGGGTGCCAGGGGCCTACGTAGATTTTTGAACTGGATTGAGAACCTCCGGTGACATGCACGAATCACTACCAAACTGTACTCTTTGGATCCCTGTGGATCTTTTTGTTTGAGCTACGATTCCTATTCATTCACTTGGCAAAGGGCGGCGACTAGAAGTTGCTTTTTGCATCGATTCGCAGCTCGTAGGGGATTCCGGACCAACTCACCTCTGTTAGGCTCACCATCCTAGCGAAGTAGATCTCCGCTATACTGTCTAGGGAAACCACCAAGTCCCGAACTCGCTCATCCTTGCTGCTTAACGTGTCGACGCTCAGCTTTGGTCTTCACATGTCTTCATACTTCGCAAGCTGTTTCAACGACGATTACCCACGATTACCGTTCTGAACCAAAGCCGTTCGCCGGCAAAACAAACACGTTCGACCAAGGAGGCAAAAGACTTTCCATGACTTTCCTGACACACATGAGCAATTTTATCCACTTGGCCCAACCTGGCATGTATGTAGCAAAGAAATGGAAGGGACATCTTCCCTGCAAGTGGAGAGTGCATTGATGTTAACACTCCATGCACACACATAAACACAAAAGTGCGGGGATCAAACAAACTACATCTTGGAGCTCAAATCATATCTGAAGTGATTGTGCGTCTTCACACTTGCACAAGATATCATTTGCACTTAGACTTGAGTTGGCAGGCTCAAGCGCACCCCTTCTGAATGCTTGATGAATCACAGCTGATCGCTCATCAATCGGGGGGTCTGACTATTCACAGCCAGGACAAACATGTATAATAACTAACCAGTGAAACCAACCGATTGGATGATTGGAGGAACACACTGCCCGCCTCAGCATCAACAGATTTGTCGCAGCTCCGTAGAGCCAAAGAGAACTGGAGTTCCCTGTGGCCTGAACCGATCGCTTCGGATCGCTCTGAGTCCAGTCATCCACTGGGTGGTAGGGAAACGGGCCTCTCAAAACACAGGCCTAGCGAGCGCCTCGCAACTTGTCAAACTTCTTAGTGGTTAACTTGTCAGACTTCAACACAAAAAATCTTATAGGACCCTTCAAGGAAGGTTCATAATTAGTTCTCATCACATCTCTGTATGTTTAAAGCAACAAGCTCACATGTGAGCGAAACCGATTTTGTACAGTATGCTTTAAGGATGAGTCAGTCTCAGTCTTTAAGCTGTTCTTGAACATCCTCCAAACGCTGCCCCTCAAATCTACCCGCCCTGAACCAAACTCTTGGTTGAAACGTAGCAGTCTGTCACACCAAGGCAAGTGCCATGCTAACTGCTTTTTCAAGGCTGTGCCCTCGGCAGTGGGAAGTCATAAGGAAACGACCCCCCTATCGTTTCAATGAACATCTCCTTCAACTCTCTGTTTCTTCGCATCGAGCAATCGCGAACGCTCAAAGGCCCAAAGACCAACAAGACTTCGCAAAGACTTTCAACCTCCCATGGTCCTCAGATGCTTTCAGCCCGCTTATGTTGACTTATGTGGGGGCGGCTAAATGCGACGCCTGGAAGGCACTTTGGATCAAGAAGCCCCCAGTGCTATCCTCGGTCCAAAGATCCAAAGCTCAAAAGATCCAATCAGGGAACTCTACCACAAAAGAAACAACGTTTAAGGGACCATTCGGGGGATCCGATATTTATTGCTTTGAGATTTTTCTTAGAAACAAAATACAACTCCAATTCTAGCAAGTGTATGTAAGTGTTCCTTTGGCGCCTGGGGAGAATTAAGCGGCTGACCAGGATTGACCAGGTCCCAGGTGTCCTTGCTGACCAGGTTGAGATTTGGGATGTCTCTGGACCTCACTGCCCCAAACACATCCAGCCTCATATGGCCAAAACGCAGGATTCATTTAAGACTCAATGCCGTTGCTGCTTTCCCAGCAAAAGGTAATTACTAAGTACCATCAATATGCTCGAGGTGAGTCTTTCACCATTCAGCCAGCTCTTTAAGCATAAGCTATAGGGGTCCCAAACTAAGTGGAGCTCCGAACTCCGCTGAAATAGCAGCTGCCCTCGCAGTGACATATTCTTCTAAATCCACCAAGCCCCAGCCCCAATTTGACCTCCGGTCGTGTTGGTTGTCTCATGGATGTCATTGATATGTAATCTGATATCTATATCAGGTCTCAACTTGCGTGACTGTAGAATCTTTTTAACACGTGGACAAGCAAACACATACCCATAGTTACACTCATTTTTGGGACAGCCCCATGTCACACAAATCACCATTGCTCTTGTTGGACGATGGCATGTTGCACAATCCTTCCTTTCTCTCCCTCCTAAAGACCTGCTCCAAGTGGCTTTCTTCCCGCCGCTGCACGCCTAGCGGACCCAAAGGCATGAAACACCAGTACCCGCAGCCTTAATGAGCACACCCCAAACCGGCCCAATCGCTTCGTCACCCTCACAGAATGCACACAAGTCTTCGTACAAGAATAGACTGGAGGTCCAGGTGGGGAGGTCCGAAAGCCCCAAAGTCCTACCTCAGGTGCAAGTCAAGCAAGTATTTATGGATTCAAGAGGAGAGGGGTGCACTACGCAATGAAGAAGTCAATCTGATGATGAACCCAAGAGCAAATGTCCCGCAAACCCAAAAATTGGTCTGATATGGTCTGATTAGTTTCTGTCGTCAGGTGCTTCGACTCAAAATACACAAGGAGATAGGACTTACTGCTGCAAAGAACCTCATATTCATTGAACGTCTTTATGAATCCAAGCACAAGAAGCTATATGAGCTATATACTAGTAACAAAGGGCATCGCTATTAGGAGCAAGAAGCTACTAGTACTATGAATCTCTGCCACCTGTGCAGCTTCTAGCCTGGATGTATGACATTCCAAGATCCGCTGATTGGCAAGAACATGCAAATCAATAACTATATAGAAAGTATTCATGATCAGTATTCAATTATTCCTCCGTTGTTACGGTAGAAGGAACAGCTCCCCCGAATCAGCAAACAGATTAGCCATGGAGGTCGAGTCTGCACCTTGGCTACGGCATCCACCAAGGGGTAGAAGATACCTGCCTCAGTCCGTCCATGGACTTGGACCGACAACGCACATTATTGCAGGTGAAGGAGAATCTTCTCCGACCGCGTCATCAAGTGCCACTCCCTATTTCGGGTCTGTTGAAACATAGGACGCTACTAGGAGGACGCTACTAGGAGCAAAGGGCATCGCTACTAGGAGCAAGGACGCTACTAGGAGCTTTTTCTATTCTCCTCCAGGCACAACCATTCGCACCCTGACGTTGTCTCGGGACTCTGTGGGCAAGGTCGACCTTCTGTTCAAATCTGGACCTTCAAAAATAATGGTGCTGTCAGGAAAATGGTGCTGTCCCAAATGGCCAGCCAATGAGCATATTCCTACAACCAAGGCGTTTCAGAGAATGCCCGGCCAATGATTCAATCCAGATGTCTGAGTGTTCACTGAGAGACGAAACACCTTCAAAGCTAAGGCCCTGCCAGGCCTCCCAAATTTCTCCCTGTTAACACACCAACTTTGGCCTAGTGACACCAATCCGAAGCTTCCAGTCCCCCCTGGTTTTCTTCCTGCACCACGCCTGCCTCACCTGCGCTTCGCGCGCCTTGTGCGATCGTTTAGTCCCAGCTACTGCCCGGGCAGCTGAGGAGGGCATGCCAGCAGCCAAGACTGAGCATGCTCGGCACTGGATTGAAAGATCGGATCCGAAGGGATCCAATTGGGTCTTTTCGACAAAGGACATGAGAACTATATACTGGTAGCAAGAAACTACTAGTAACAAAGGGCATCGCTACTAGTAGCAAGGACGCTACTTTCAATAGCTCCTGGCATTACTTCTAGTAGCAAGAAGCTATTGGGTAACAAGAAGCTAATGCATCTGAACATCGTGAGATGCGACATACGACAAATGAGAAGTGGTCTACGAACGTACCGTTCGCCCAAAGCTTTCGGTGAGGAATCTGTTTGGACTTTGAGGATTTCAAAAATCAGTGCTAGTGCTTGTCTTTAGAACCATCAAATCTATGAACATCCATCCAAATCCAACTGATGCATAGTAAATTGAGGGTCCTTTTGAGGTGTGTGAAACTAAAGCCAAGATGGACAGAACAGGCACCGTGCTCAACAACAAATTGTAGTTTTAAAGCCTGTTGGGTGGGGAGACAACAAAAACCACAAGTTGGATTCCTCATAGAAATGTTGGAATCTGCATGGCTTTGTTAATTGGCACCTGGTCTCGGAATTCTACAGGTCTATTTGCAGTGTTGCGACAGGAGGGTCCTCCCCCCATCTGCAAAGATCAACCAAGCTAGTCCGGAAGTTAGTCCAATTCCAAAAGATCTTCTCAATGACTTCGAAGCGCTCTACGGCGGCCTCCTTCGGCCAGGTTCAAACCATAGGCCAGGCCCAAGGTGGTACCGCCCAGCACGCGCACGATGCCTCGGATGCAGTTATGGGAGGATTGAATTGGGTTGGCCGATCAGACTGAAAGACCTCAACCTTTGCACATCATTGCATCAACAAGAACATGGCAATAGGCCAATAAGCTAAGTTGAAAGTCCAATCGAAACTGCTTCAGCTGCAGCTCATTTAGCTCACATGAACAGGTTTGGCTGTAAGGGACTTCGGCCACTTCGATCTATGGATTGGACGGGATTGGTCCACATTGCCAGTGGAATCCAGTGCTGGACAAAGCCAACGAGCCAACTCCAAAAGAACATGAACCGTCAGGGTGAAAACCACTGGGCCTGACCCAGAAAGAGACCGTGTTTATCGCCTGAGCATGGCAAACAAATCCCTCAAGGATGGAGTGACATGTCAAGACCTGGAGCATGACAGCTGTTAAAAACAACATAAAACCACCGGGTTTTACCGTATCAACTATGGAAGTCAATGCCTACGCTCCGCAGCTGCCACGCCCCAAGCATTTGGGGCACCGGGCTGAGCGCGATCCGCTCCCCAAGGCCGGTCTTGGCGAAGCCCTGGTGAAACGAGCAGTTCCGTACGGAAGGCAGTCGCGGTAGCATGAGACACTGGTAGTTCCCATTTTGCCAAACTATAAAAGTCTGCAGCCGCACTCATAAGGCAAATGACGACGGTGTTCTAAGGGGAAACTCCGAATGGATCGTCACCATGGATCTTGTGGGTCTGTGTGGTCGAGGATCGTGTCTTGAGATGAAGGTGGGACTCAGGCCGAATCCGGTCAAATTCCATGAGCGACGCTCTTTTGGGTGAAATTCACAGATTGATCTGCCAAAAAAGAGGTCGCGGCACCTGTGGAGAACTGGGACAGTTAGTGATTTCTTGAAAACCGTGAACGCTTGCAGAGTCTGCAAAACCTCGATCAAAATGCTGGCAAGGCACACGCAAAAGGTATGTGAGGTTAGTTTTGCTGTAGCGAACTCGTGGTTTTCAACACCGGATTTGGAAAACCTTTTTCTCTCTCTCATCCTTGCTCTAGTTTGCGGGAGCCCACAGCTTTAGGGTGTCTCCGCAACGCTGCTCCCAGCTCTTTTCCGAGGGACTTTCCACAAGTGACATGCTCCTGGTTCCACGGCCAGAACATCATGAAGCCAAGGTGAACATTCAGTTCATCAAGCTGAGAGGGAGAGGAAGTTCATGAAGCCAAAATAACGGTGAAGTGCATGAAACAAAGAGGAGCATGAAGTGCACGATGAAGTTCATGAAACCATCATGACATGTGACATGTGGACGTTGTTGATCTGACCAGTTGTCAGTACTAGTACCCCCCCACCCCCCTTTCTGCTTGATGTTGATCTTAAATCTTAAACATAGAGAGATTCTTGACGCTACTGGCACGCGACAGAACAAACCTCCAATGGCTCCAGCCTTCGTGAAAAAGAACGCCAAGACCACCAACCAAAGCACCTGTGCTCGGTCAAGGGGTGACATTTAATTTTGACGAGTGGTACCATCAACTCTGAACTTGCTCCAGTGTTCTTGAAGACTTCCTCCAAGGTGCCTTCGCAAAACTCGACATGATTCTCAGAATGAGTGGCTTCATCGATGCTTTTCACTTTCCAGGGTTCCTTGCACTGTCTCCTTTTCCTGAAAGAAACCGATGCAGGTGAACCGATTCAATCACTTTTCATTCATACTTACGCAGCAAATCGATCTTACACATCTCTTGTCACATACATTGGGTCATGGATGTGGCTCTTGTCATTTCTACCAAAGCAATCCAAAACACACATGATATTCATATCCTTAACCTGACCGTGGAACCGAGCTGTTATCGTACCGCCCAGCAGAGCGCCTCATCTGTGAAGGCTTTGACCCCGTCCTGGAAACTCAACCTGAGCCAGCTACGAAGCTACAAGGGCACCACACCGAGTGACGTGCAGGAAGGGAAACAGGGAAGAAGGGGGGTAGAGGACGCTACTAGCGGGTACTACTAGGAGCAAGAAGCTACTTGGGGCTCCTGACATCGCTACTATGAGCAAGGACGCTACTAGGAGCTTTTTCGCTATTGAACTTTTGGATCCCTATTGAACATCAATCTCCAGAGGGGCAGTGTCCATTGCCTTCTAGATCCTTCTAGTTTGGCAAAGGCCAAGAAGGCCAAAGTGCTTCACACAAAAAGATATGGCTATATATCATTATATATATATATAGTTATACATAAATAAATAAATATATATATATATATGTTGCTGAACAACAAGAATATGGCCAACAATCACCGCGGTGTCTTGATTCTTTGGTTGAGACATCTTCGACAATCAGCACGATGAAAAAAGAGTCCTCCGCAAGGATGCAAAGGATTGTACACCTCAAGAAAAATCAATGGGAAGAGAACATCAAAGATGATTGGTATGAGGCCCTTCTGTAAATTGATCAACCATGAGCACCCCCCTCTGAACGACACCACTTTTCTTCCACGCAATTCAGAAAGGAAGCCTTCCAGTTACAACCAGCGGAATCTGAAGCTTACATGATCCTCGTTTGAGAATATTACAGTATCATATATGATCTCTGAGACCTCACAGCACGGGGCTAGACAGTCATCATTCAGGCTCCATCACCTGAGACCCATTAGACCCAATAAAATTCAGAGGTTGGCTAGTTGTTTTTTCTTGTTTGCTTTCCAGGTGAAACGCAACCAAGTGTGGCCACTCCTTTGAGATGTGAACACATGAGCCACTCCGAACTTCATTCTCCAGGTGTCCACACGTGTGGGTCCTTGGCTCCGGGTTCAAGGACGCATGCGGAAGGTAGGGCTTTTGGATGTTTTTGGTGACCCATTTGATGGGTGAAGCTGGTGAAGCTGGTGAAGCAAGTGGACCTTGTCCTCTTGTCCTTGACCATCCTTTTGGGGTCAAATCCGACTCAAAGCGCTCGCCACGAAAAAAACTAGACAAGCAGCTTTTTGAGTCACCATTAGGCAGCCCTTGAGGGTCTCAAAGTGCATCGTTGCCTGGTCAATTCTTCCAACCCCAAAATCCTGAGGAGAGGAACTTGTGGAATCTGTGACTTGGCGGGAGTAGCAATTTTTCTATATTTTTCTCCATGCAGTACCCCCATCTGGCTCAAGCAACTCACCCACCCGAACCTCCTGTGAACTTCATCATCGACCCTCTCTCCGGAGGTCGTACTCCTACCGGGGATGTCCAACCTTCAGGACCCCCTCCCAGATCACTGAAGGAAGGTGAATCCTTTCCACCTGGTCGAATTCCTCTCATGAGTCATGACTGGCGTTCTCTGCATGACTGGCGTTTAGGGAATCACCCATGTTGGATCGGAAGGTCGATCCTGCACCCTCCAAGCCGTCACCATTCCAAGCGTTTCACATAAGGATCCGAAAGGCTCAGAGTTTCCGGACGCCAGATGGACACAACTCATTGAATCCTCTGGTCAAAACTGCACCATCCGAGTGGCGCCAAGCCCACCGCGAAGGCGCAAAAGGCAACGCCTTTTGCAGTGCACCCGGCCCAGCTGGGGAGAAAAACGTATCCAGCATCCGACTGAGGACAGTGCATGAATAAAACTCTCATAAGAAGAGGGTTTACATATGTTTACAGTTTACATGGTTTTACAATCCATGTATGGGGGGTTGATTGATCAACAGTCTACCTTAGGGATCCTTAAGGATACTCCAACCAGTGTTCGTCACCAAGGATGGAACTTCCATGAACTTCCTGTCCTTCCACTCTCACCTGCTTTTTCGGTGGACTCCCAGCGTAGAACTGCCGGGCGAGTTTAGTTGATCAAGAGCCACAAGGTGACATCGACCGAATTTAAAAGAGAACCAGGAGCCAATGTGATGCTTTTAGATGCTTTTAGTCCGAGTTGCTAAATATGTTGCGCAAGATATCTTGGGCGTTCGATGTTTATCGGTGCATCTCAAACGATCTCGGTTGAACATGCGAAGCTTTTCCACCAGGTGAAGGTGCAGGACCTGTTCCCCGATAGCAGGTCTGAGCCACTGTGGTCGAATCTTGAGTCCTGAACTTCAGTTCTCATTTTGTATCTCATCATCTCGTCCTTCAGTATGTCGAACTTCGGAATGCCAGTGGATTTGTGGAAAGTATAGGGCTTAGGTATCCTCATTCACCAAGTTTCTCAGGAATCCTTAGCATGTGGGCAAGAAGGTTGCCCGACCTCCTCGAACATCCTAACATCCACTGCCAAAGACGCAAGCATCGCAGCATCCCAAAAAGTTGATCAGGTGTGAGTCGTTCTGAGGGACTTTGCGGCGGCGGCTGAAAGAATTGTCAACTCACAGAACTGGACATGCTATAGCTGAAATTTGTCTGAACTGCTGATGCAAACATCCTCTGGTTTAATTATACATATGTGGACATATAGATGTTGAATTCCCGTGTAGAAAGTAGACCGAAGCGATCGAACTCCCCAAACTTTTGACTTTGAGCATCGTTGAGCTGTCTCCCATCTACAAAGCACAGTGCACTCTGTTCATGTCATTAAAATTGAACAGTACCTGAAGCACAAAGAAGCAATTGCGAAGCGGTCAACCCATCTCCTGTGATCTTCTCTCCATCAGCTTCGAAATCCAACAAGAGCCCCAAAGCTTCGAAGTGGCCCTTGCAAGCTGCCAAATGCAAAGCAGTTGTGCCATTGTTCATAGCCAGGTCTGTCTCCCCACCAAACACGAGCAACAGCCGCAGAATGTCGAGGTGGCCATGGAAAGCTGCAAAGTGCAAGGCTGTTGCTGTTGCCCCAACCTCTATTCTAGCCTCACTGGTGTTGTGAAATGCAACGCAGTTCGCCCGTCTTTCATTCGTGTATCTTTATTCGCCCCTGCTTCTAGAAGCGTCTTGTGCGGTTGCCACGTGCAAAGCCTTTCGACCGTCATCCAATCTGATCGTCTCTCTGTCGGCATTGCACTCAAGCAAAGGCTGAAGAACTTCCAGGTGGCCACTGGCAGCTGCAAAATGAGCCAGTTTGTCTATGTCTGCCCTCGCCTTCAGCAACGGCTGTGTGGCTGTGTCAGTCTTGGGCAGCCGCCTTGAGCTGCCACGTGCAAGGCTGCCAAGCCATCAGCTTGGTCAGCCTTGGTCCCCAGCAACAGCTCCACAATTGGAACTACCCTTTCCAAACTGCCAAATGCAAAGCTGTTCCGTTGTCAAGTCCGACCAAATCCTGATCTGCACCAAATTCCAGCAACAAATGCACGATCCTGGGATGGAGCTTCGCAGCTGCCAAATGTAAATCTGATGCCCCATCAGATTTGACCTCATCTTTGTCAGCATTTCCATTGAGCAGCAGCCGGACAACTGGGAGGTGATCGTTTTCTGCCAAATGCTGCGCCGTTTCATTGTCAACTCTAAGCTTGTCTATGTCTACACGGAACAGGATCAACCAGCGCACAACTTCGGTTTGGCCCGCCAAAGCGGCCAAATGTATAGCAGTTGCCCCATCTTTCGCCTCGTCTTGCTTCGCCAGCCTTGAGAAGCATCTGGACAACTCTTGTGTGGCAATTCACAATTGCCAAATGCAAAGCTGCCTTCCCGTCATGAGTGCGTCTGTCTTTGTCTGCCTTGGCATCCAAAAGCAGCTGTGTCAGTCTTGGGCAGCCGGTTTGAGCTACCGCATGCAGAGCTGTCAAGCCGTCATTATCAGCCTTGTCAGCGTCAGCCTTCGCCTCAAGCAACATCTCAGCAATTTCCATGTATAGACCCTTTCCAACTTGCACGATGCAAAACCGTTCTGCTATGAATCCAACATCCTTTGGTCTGTGTTTGCACCGTATTGCAGTAACATTTGCACAATCTTGGAAAGGCGGTTCATAGCTGCCAAATACAAGGCTGACTTACCATTCACTGCGTCATAATCTATTTCTGCATCTGCCTGCAGCAGCAGCCCAACAACTTCCAGGTAACCTTTGTCTGCGGCAACTTGCAGCGCAGTTTGACCATCTAAGCATACTATGATCTTCTGTCTGTAGTTTTAAACCCCAAATTCCAGTAGCAACTGCAGAACTTCCAGGTGATTCTGCAAGGCCGCAACATGCAAAGCTGTTGCTATTGCCCACCTAGGATCGGACTTGTTTTTGGCATTTGTCTGGAGAAGCAAGCGGACAACTTCCAAATGACCGCTGGCTGCTGCCAATGAGAGTACTGTGTGGCCATCGGTTGTGACCGCTTTGTGGTCTGCGCGGGCGGCAAGTAGTGGCTGCACAATCTCCTGGTGATTAGAAAGAGCTGCGATATGCAAAGCTTGGTAGTCATCTGCCACTCGGCCTCTGCTGATGTCAATCTCAGCCTCGCCACTCCTTGATACAGCGCTGTTTCCCCATGAGCCGTAAGCTTGTCCTTATTTGTTCATGATTTGAGGCGGCTACCAACCAACAAATGGAAAGCAAGGTCAGGCAAAAGGTCCAAAGCTTGCACAGCTGAGCGTCTTTGTCTGCCCCAGCTTCCCTCAATAGACCTAAGGACTGGCCATGCCCGTTCACAGCAGCAACGTGCAGCGCCGTCTGGGGCATGCGGAGATGAGCTGTTGACCCTGGCACTCATCTTCCAGCAGACTGAGCACCACCAATAGCACCTTCAAAGGAGGTAGAAGAACCTGGGCTGGTTGCATCTGCTGTACATCGCTTTGAGTCGCAAATGATGTGGTTCTTTTGGCAAAAACGGTGATTGATAACCTTCCGAGCAAAACTTGCATATGATGCTCCAAAACATTGCCAAGCGAGGCAAGAAACCACATCTGGAATCCTTGCGACTGACTAGTTGCACGAAATAGGATTTCAAGGCGTTGGAGGACTATTCTTTTGAACTTGAAATAATTAATGATACGATCCCAGCAAAACGCAGGCACAAACCCTTCGGGACTACAGGCGAGCTTTTGGGGATCCTTTTTGGGGTGATCAAGGTGATGGTGACTTTTGACCTTGGTGCACCTGGAGAGAACCCACAAGCCAGATCAAGCCAGCACGGATGCCTCCTGTTTGCACCTGCAAAAGGTCGAACTTTTCTTTTCAACGACTTCTCTTTCATGTCCGACTAAAACTCCATAGCCACACACCACAAACTCTAGGGATTCACATCTCTCTTTGGGGTCTGCCCTCACCTTGTCTGATTAGCAAAAATAAACAAGCATGTCCCCACACAGGTACTAAGAATAGAAGATAGACCCCACAACTGGCATGCCACACTTCGAGTTTTCTCCCCCAGCTTGGTGGCAATCTGTCCTAGTTGTCCATCCAAGATGCCTCATCAACTCTTTCACCACCTGCTCTTCCGGCTCCATGACAGCCAGCTGTGCCACCACTTCACCAGATATCGCTGAGCACAGCTCCACCATGGCGCCCGGGACTGCTTGGGCGCGGGAAAGACACCTCCAAGTTCCGGCTGCACTGTGCACTGTGCTTGGAGTGATAGTGAAGCAGAACACCCCAACGAAGACTGGAGAATCAGTTACACAACAGCCCCGAACCGATCATCAAGCCACTGCGGACGGCTGGAACGATGGGTGGTTGAAATCTTCTCCCAAAATAAGAGCAAATTTGTATCAGCATTTCACATCATTTCCATAGGGATGGGAAATAGTCCAGTCTTCCAGCCCTTGCATCCTGAAAAGGACGCTCACGCACGACGGACGAACGTCTTGAGGGAAAATGAAGATTATTCATCTTTCAACCAGGATGGAACATCACCGAACGAATCATCCAACCCGCCAAGATGGTGTAAGCTTCATACATGGGTCCGTGGTTCTCCAAAAACATCAAACACTTAATACATGCAAGTGCCCCTAGGGTTGGCACCTGGCGAGGGCAATGGCCGCGTCACGATGCCCGCAACCTGGGATCACTGGGATCATATGGCTTGGCTGAGACGCTGCCGGTGGATTTATACATGTTCTTCTTCCCCTGCCATTTGACGGGATGCCATGAGCCATGAGAAGGTTTTGAACAACCTGCTAGGCGAAAGACACTGGATCTTTGATCGGAAGCGAACATGGAGCTGTGTTGGCCTTGTGGCCAGGGTGGTTCCTTTTCCATGCCCAAAAGTTAGTCTAAAACAACATTCCTAAAACCACGCCTTTTGTCAGAGGAACATCCTCTTGGGGGTTCTCTTTACCACCTTCAAAGATACAGCTGATGCTGATGAATAGGGCCCAGGAGGTTATATAGATTCAGATCTTCTGACGACAAACACCTCCCTTGGTAAGGCAGGACCACCCCCCCATCCCCCAGCAAAGGGTGGCCCACAACTCCCAACCGACGAGGGACAACATAATATACGTTTACAATTTACAATCATTTACTGTATCATACTGTATCCATTGCAAATATACCCCCCACACACACACACACAAAATCACACAAACACTACTTTGTACAGGTCAATCTCCCTTTGTACATTGCGGGCCACCCTGATACCGTGAATGGAACACATCTAAATCTGCATCCGGTGGTGGAGTTGGTCCAGCAATCTATGGCCATCTGGTTTTGGTATCTATCATTGTACTGTACACAACGGGCTACACGGGCAGGGTTGAATATGTTGATCAATGACAATTTGGAAGAAAGTAGTGACATGGTGCAAATGTGGCACGGAGGGTCCTGCAACACCACTGATAAATAATCGAAGGAGCGTGTCTCGGATACTAAAGAGTTGTATGACAAACTGGTGAGCTCGGGGATGCTGCAGGGAGGCACCATCCCACAGAATGAACGTGCTGAAGCAGTTGTCTCAAAATGACAAACATGATCTCGTTTGCTGCAAGGCGTTGGGCAGCAACACTCCCCAGCCCCAATCATGTGAAGAAGGCCTACAGACGTTGCTGCCAGGATGCTGTACAACTAAATCATGGACCGCTGGACCTGAAACCTTCCTACGCCAGCTATTGGAGTACGACTACTTCTCTATCGCCTTTGCACCACTAATGTAGCACGCGGACGATGTATAAATGCCCTCCCGACACCAGCATGCTGAACATCCCCACCGTGGCCACAAAGAGCGCCAGCATGGACCAGCCCTGCTGAGAGACGCCTGATGGAAAACTACCAAGGCAGAAATCAAAATCGGGATACAGCCGAGCACACTTTGCCAGCTCACCAGCTGGTACAGGGAAGCGGTCTTTATCTTCCAAATCAAATCTCACATTTTTTGGAGGTTGCTTTGATAGGATCTGGGGGGAGGGTATCCAAATATCATCAAATATCCGTTTGTGTTCTATTCATCCAGCAGCCATTCCCCTGGATGCTGTGTCTAAATCAAGAGTCATTCTGATTATCCCTGTAACATCCTGTAACACTGCATTGAGGACTATTGCTATGGATACATGTGTGAGTAAGACATTGCACTTGGTGTTGGGAATGAGCCTACCTACCGGGCAACTGGTGAACTCCATGATGGCCCTCACAAAGCAGGAATACATCCTTGTGATACATCCTCAATCAAATGTCCCCCAAAGATTTACCAGTTGCCGTGCGACATCTGGAGCCGAAAGTAGGGATATGCCCACGAAAAGTAAAGCATCTCTCAGTCTCTCTCTCTCTCTCTATATGGTATACACAAGAATATATATATATATAATATTATGCTGTCTGTGCCAGTACGAGTATATATCTTTGAATAAACATACAGCAACTTCTCTCCTTCTTCATATCTCATGTGTTTAGCATGCACACAGGTCTATGACACACTATGTCTGCGTCTGCATTCCCAAGACTAGGACAGGAGAATAGACCTGCAACAGTCTTGCACCAAAGCCTTTGAGCCAAGCCCGGCCCATGTTCAATGTTTTTCATGCTCTCAAAGGACATGCAGAATCCAGCTCTCCATGTGGTTTCCATACTAAACACCCCCAAAGAGGGAACACTTCATAGAAACAATCCCTTGGGATTTCTTGGGCCCTCAGTCCCCACCGACCCGATAAGACCGGTTCAACGTGGCCTGTAGGGATTGGCAGGACATAGCGAATGAAGAGCCCAATGCCCACGGACACGGCGCTGGGGCCCTAGGCCAAAAGGAGAGGAATGACCAAACCCAGTGGAGAATCGAAGCTTCAGCCTTTTCAGAATGGACACCGAAAAAAGCGCTAGCGGAGGGCCAGTTGGATGAAACACTTCCCCAAACAACACCTGCACTTGGCCAGACAATAAACGTGTCAGCACCACGACTTTGCAGCCTTTCCACCGTTCACCTGATCTTGCAGAATCTCATCGCATGGATTGATTGCCGACTCCATGCGAGGTGGAAGAAATTCAATTCTACAGCACCTGAAATGTGCAAACCAGTTTACAGTTCGATAAATCCATATTCTTTGTATAGATCATACATATATACTGTATTTCAATGTTATTTTGTTTCAGGTGTAAATCATCTGCATTCATGATTCATCATCTGTATATCATCCAAATCAATCCAAATTATACATAATCCAAAACATATATACAGTAATTCAAATCATACATCATCCATCATTCGTATCATATATTGTCCATCAGTTGCAGCCTGCATCAACAAGGGCTCCCTTGAGACCTACAAATGTAACGCAGATTCTTGCCAATGGTGCATTACCCCTTCCTGCACAAAACCAGCGGAACATTTGATGTCCTCCAACCCTGAATTTGCCTTTTTTGGTTGCATGTCTCGTGACTTGGAGGGCAAGCATGCTGGCCATGTGCCTTTTGGCAGGGCGCAGATCCAAGCTTCAATTTGCTTCAGCGGCCTGGAAATTGATACAAGAGATATCACAAGATGCGAATAGATCCCTATGGAAACAACAAATTAAATAAATGTTCACACGTCCTTTCTGAAGGATGACTATAGATTTACACAATCCAGGACCCGAACTCTTAGCTCAGATGTTCGATGATGCCCGTCTACTCTGGATTGCTATGTTTGTTTCTGGGCCCTGGGTACAGATGTCGAGAGCCGGGGCGACACAAACTCACAAGTTTTGCAGCGCCTGTTCCTTCGTTCTTGCTGAGCACTTTGGCTTCACCTCACGTGCGAGGGTTGCAGTTGGAGGGTCGCCGATCTGTGGAAGCTGGAATCTGCAATGCGCCTACCCCACATCAAACTCCCCTAAGAAATATTGTACAATTAGATATTATATAATGTCGACGTGTCCTTGCCAGGTTGCAGGCAGCCTGCCTGAGAACTTCAGAAATATGTGCGAAGAAGAGGATGTGTAGCGAAAGGATTGAGACAAACAGGTAGCTTCCAAAAAATCCAAATGGAACGTAGGAGACCAACAAACGACTTGGCGGGCAGGGCACGCCCAGTAGTAATGTGATTGCCTTCAAGCACCTGCAGGGTTTGGCAGTACTCTTGCTGATATGTGTGTTCTGAACTTCTTCAACCAAACTGTTCTAGCTTCTTGCTCATAGTAGTAAGGCCAGGAGCCCCTAGTAGCGTCCTTGCAGTGCTGCCTGGCCTGGAGGAGCCCACTCACCCAATGGGAAGCTGTAAAACATTGTAAAGCTTTCCAACGTGCGATGACAGAGTTTGGCAGCACTAGGGAACCCCCGAGCCGCTGAGACCAACCCATTGGGTTTCACCCAGTGTCTCGACAAAATTAAACATATAGTACACTCGCAATTTTGAAAGGACAACATAAAGGACAACACACGCTGCGTCCTCCCAGCCAACCCCGTCGCAGGTCATTTGTGCCTGGCTCGTCTGCGAGAGCCTCGCTCTCACGTGGCACACGGAGCACGGGGGCCTGTGGAGCAGTGGGCACACGGCAAATACAGTCAAACACAAAGGTCGCAGCCAATCCATCATCTAAAACACATGTACACAAACATATATATATATATAAGTATATATATATATATGTGTGTGTGTAACGAAATTGCTTTTAAACATGCACAACATTGCACACCCACAATTTGCTTTTTTGCCTCAGTTAGAGGAAGCAACATCGTCGAATCCACCGTGTTTGCTTGCGAGAACTGGTCTTGCAGGGATGGATCACGGCTGTTGCCGCCCTCGGCCAGTGGCACAGTGGGTGTGGCGATGCGCGACTCGGACAAATCTGCTCACGATCCCCAGCAATCAAATCTGGCCCAGTGCTCTCCTTCGTCAACAGGTTGGAACCATCATTGGCCACTACCGCTATTGATTGGAAGCACAAAGATTCCAATGAACAACATGTTCAGCCTCTCTTTCTCCAGCCATGTTTTTCAATATAGCCTTTGTAGGTTCCCAGCTGATGAACGACCAAATCATTGTCAAGTCTATACCAAGCTGAACTTTTCGGCTTAAATTCATGGGTTATTGTAGTCCAAAGACTCCCAAAATTCCCCGTCACTCAGTAGACTCGGTTGGGTTCAAAAGGCGATTTGGAGGAAGCGGACGGTGGCCTTCAGTGGCCTTTTGGGTCCAGGTCGTTGCTCTGGCTGTGCCTTCGCCTTTCGCAAGAGAACTGGCAGCCCAGCGACCTGAGCTAAACGCTGGCCCAGGTGGTGGATGGTGGCACTCCGGGTTCAATATGTTCAATGCGATATGAGGGGCGAATGATAAGTCGGCCAGATGTTGAAACTGTCTGATTCCTTTTTCAACCCTCTGAGACAGCTGGTAGTAAATGTGGGCACACTCTCACGACATGCTCTTCTTCTTGTCCAATGGTGGAACCGATTTTGAAGAGAGTATATACAGTAAGCGGATATGGATATATATATATATATATCTGCCATTCTGTGGTCTTTGGAGCCAAAGTCATGTCGGACAATTCCTCCTTGCCAGTGTTATTTCAGGCTATGCAGCTTAGGAGCAACCCAGGGTCGCACGGGGGAGACACCTGCGACAGGGGCGTGCAGAACGTCCGTGGACAGAAAGGATACTTCCTGCGCTTCTTGCATGTTCTAGGCCACCAGCGAATTGCCAAACTTTAAAAAACACATTAAACATCATTAAACAACGCTTGGATTGGTTCATGAGGATGGTGGGATGGTGGTTTGGATCATTTGGACAACTACAGTAACGCTTCTGGCTCAAGACCCAAGTTCATAGGTTCCATTCAACGCATTAATTCGTTTCACAAGCAGAGCTGATGGGTGGAATTCCTCTCGTTTCAGCTTCTGTTGATATCCATTCTTGCGATGGCAATGAGCAATTCTGATACTTTTGACAGTGGACAGTCCGCAAACGACCCCTGAATGGAACATCTTCAACTTGGTCCTGCGAATCCCCACAGCAATGACCAGGCATTCCTCATCTTTCATGTCATCTACTAGGCAAAAAGGCTACGGCGTAATTAGTGACCCTGGAGTTTTGGGCCATTGTGCCGAGGATGGTTTTGGTCGAAAATGTCAAAGAAGGAGGTTCTTGGCGATTTCATTTTTGGTGTCAAAAAGTTGTTCTTGAAATACTGTGTTTTACAAGGCGCCAGGTCTTTTGGCATCCTCGCCAGTCAGGTTCTGTGTGTTCAATTTCTAGTCTCAGGTGGGATGCATTCTTCGTAGCAGGCTTGTTGCTTTGTTTTGTTCTCGTGTTTGTTACAAGTCACGTCTTGTGACTGGTGTTCCCGTCCAGGCTGCGTGTTCATGGTGTTGCTTTTTCCGCGGTGGTCACAAGTTTTGTTGATTTGAAGTGTCGCTTTTGTGTTATGCTTTTCTGCTCAAGCAAATCTTTCGTGCTTCTCACTCTGACATACATGCAGTGGGCGGCTTCCATATCAAGCAAATTGTTTTTCTCTCAGTGGCGCATCGCCTTGCGGCAGAGCACTTCCACTGCCTGCAGCAGATCTTTGGGAGATCCAGGATTTCACATAGAGCCTCAGCCTGTCGATGTTGCAGGCGTGTTCTTTCTTGCTACGGATCGTTAGTTGAAGGCATGTGACATCATGTCCGAAGCACATCCAAAGCAACGTCATTAGCCCCCGACCCAACCCCACCCCACCAAACATATCAAACATCAACCCACATGCATACCTACTACTGTCATCCAAGCCGAAAAAACATGCAATTTCTTCTGGGGTTGCAAACAACGCCGTTGGCAAAAACAACATCTGCTCAAACGGGGAAGTTCCGCCAGGTGTGACTTTCGCGGGTTGGAGGGGTCCGATCCACGCCTGAACCACCGATCCACGCCTGAACCACCGGGACTTCTGTTTCTCTCCTGGCGACTGAAACGGTTTGTTTGGTTGGGGGGTCCGCTTTCTCAAACACAGGTCAAATGTCAACCCATCCTGGAACCTTTTAAGGTGGACAAAGATGCACGGAGTCTCGCTGGATACGTTTGTCGCCTTTGTGTGCGATGAGTTGAGGGCTCATGGCCCGCTCTTCAATCAAAACTGGCAGGCCCCCAAAGAAGCTCTTCGTATGGATGCCCAAACAGGAGCTCAGATTGCTGTGCTAGTTGAAAACAACACATCAGTAATGATCAAGGAAACTCCAGTAAGGTCTGAACCCATGGCCAACAAGCCTCCGCAATAAGCTGACCATCGGCTCCAACCGCCAGCATCCCCACCTATATATAGGACCACCTGAGACCACACCGACCAACATCGCGGTCCTTCAGCGGGGTGACAGGACGCCGTGGCCCCGAACGTGGAGTGGCGCCTGAAAACGGACGTGGCCGGGAAAGAAGTGCGGAAGATCAAAGGCTTTAGCTCTTCCTCGGTCGAACTGATTGGTGAGGTTCCAATTATAAACACTAGACTTGCTTTCTCCAAATGCTGCCATGCTGATGAGGGCATATGAGGGCTGCCAAGTCTAACTTGCAAGAATTGCTCACGTGGCAAACCCAAAGACAGTGTGACAATCAAGCTCATGTGTTGTGTCAAGTCTTGAAGGAGCCAACAAGTTCTGAGCTTCGATGAACACTTCAGCTGCAAACTTCTCAGGTGTTGATTCCTTGGCATACCCACTTCTTGAAAACCATCCATCAGGTTCATCCCAGCACATCATTCCCACGATTTCCGAAGTGCCAACATAGTCCGTCAAAAGTAGCTCAGTCTTTTGACCCCGTGGTGCTCTATTTATGCTCTCTTAAGAATCTGGGCATGGTCAGCAACTTGTCCAAGGCTTCAGATCCACAAGTGAATCTTCCTCTATTATCCTCTATTCAGGCCGATGATTATTACCCTGCTTGTTGACCACCTACGAGACCATGGGCCTTGAAACTTCATCAAAACCACCTCATCACCCAGCTTCCCTGCAGGTTTTGCAGACTTCTCGACCATGGTCGAGACATGTCACCGTGCCCCCAACGCAATTTCGAAGTTTTAAAAAAGCAACGCCTTTTCATTTGCTTTTTGTAGAGCAACAAGATCATTCAAAGGAGGCTTCACCAGCAGCTCTGCGAGTTTCAGGGATTTGAGTTAAAGACATTATCCAGGCCACAGGTTTGAGGATTTCAAAAAGCGCCAATCTGCACTGACTTTCAAGGGCGCTAGCTTTCTTCATTTCTTCCCAACTCTGCTGCAGCCAACACCTAGCCTCCAATCTTTCTAGTGGTTGGCTGATAGCGGGGCAGGAATTTGGACTGAAGCCACGTAGAATCCCCCCACTCAACCGCATTCAAGAGAGGCTTGGGTGGCGCCTCAACCGTCCGTTGGCAAGTGTATTCTGGAAAAAAATGAATTACAGTAGAAAAGAAAGTACACCCGGACCATGAGCGGCGCCAAGCCTGCGCGAGCTGCATGACGGATGGCGGCTTGTGCGCCATGCATGTCGTTTTGGACTGTCTCTCTGCCAAGTGGAAACTGCCAGAGCTTCCTTCCGAGCTGGGATGACGTGCCAGTACCCTGTGTAGTTGCTTGGTCTGGCCAGTTTTTGCTAAACCTGCAGTTGACCGTTGGCAACTTCATACTTTGTCTTCTGGGAACTAAAACCAAAGGGAAAGGACACCCAATCCAGTCACCCTGGAGCAAACCTGGATTGGTGGAACAGGCGCTGGGGACGATTTGATGGTCAAATATATACAGTACGGGATTCTCCATCTTAAAACACTGCTGTCAGTATCCTCAGTGAGCAGCATGCTGTAAGCAAGTGTCAATTTTGCAGAGTGCATCATCCTCGGTCATCTGAACATGGCTGCTTATTTGGCTGGCAGATACATCGTACGCAAACAGCTAGGAGGTGCTACTAAGCCTCACTTCTCCACAGATACACAACGGTCAAGGAACATGGAGCAGTTGGTTTGTCATTAGTGTGTCGCTTTTTGCAGGATCTCACCCCTGAAGTATCCACGCAATGCAGGCAATTGAAGGCTCAGTGCTTATGACCAATCTTTTGGAATCTTCCAGATCACCTCCATTCAAAGCTGCCCTTGGATCCTCTGTTAAGGATTAAACCTTTTGTGTTTAGTAGTAAATCCCTTGTAAACCACATGAACATGAACCAAACATATTTACCTTTGAGTGCAGTCACCACATTGCTTGTCAACAGGCTGGAGGGGGCGACTGGAAGGAACCAACCCTGCAGACTGGTACAAAAAATGCAGTCAGACATAGTCAGACCTTGTACAAACAGGGCACCCCCATACCTGTTGATGGAAGAAATCCTGCACAAATGCTCCAAAAACATCGAGCACAGTGGAGTCTTATCTTCTCCAGTTGCGCAGGATTCTTTCCGGTCCAATCAGTCAGCCAAGGCGAGCGATATATAAGCATTTTTTCTTGCAAAGAATGCGCAGCGTTCGTCACCAGGTGAGACACTTCACACTGCCCATGATTAGGGCTGGTGTGACCGGGTGGAGATTTGAGAGATGTCGTCTACCTCAGTGCACGAACCTTGGTCTAATTACAACAGGTCCCGGAATTAATTTTGGATTTCTGCGTTCTATTTTGGAATCATTGTTGTTTTTCTGGTGCTGATATAGCTCGAAATGCAGATTTCCTGGTGAGCAGCGTTATGTGAACCTCGCAGGTAGCGCTGATCTTAACATCTAGGTCTCATGTCAGATGGCAAAAGCCTGGTAGCCCTTAGCATCCAACCTCGGGTGGCTCACAGAAGATGTGCTTTGTTGGAGTGGTCCCTGTCCTTCCTTCAATTTGACATTGGCAGCACTTTGTAAACGTCGCTGATCTAAGCATTCAAGTCTTTTGTGAGATGGCCAAAGCCTGGTGGCCCTTAGCATCCGCCGTGGGAATTGTCTCACTTGCGCACGCAGAAGTTACCTCACTTGCGCACGCGTGACTCACTTGCACACGCAGCGACCCTCTTGCACACACAGGCATGTTGCTGCATTGGAGTGGCACCTTCCTTCGCTATATTTTACCCTCGGGTGGCTATGCCAAGTATGCACCATTGGACTGGCACCTTCCTCCACTAAATTTTAACCTCGGGTGGCTCACAAAAGGTATGCGCCGTTGGAATGGCACCTTCCTCCACTAAATTTTAACCTCGGGTGGCTCACAAATGGTATGCAATTTTACCTTGGCAGCGCTTTGTAAACCTATCTGATCTAAGCATTCAAGTCTTTTGTGACAAACCTTTGTGAGATGGCCAAAGTCTCGTGTGGCCCTTAGCATCCGCCATTATGGGGTTGCGGTGGATAAAGGTCTCTATGTGTTACGTTGTTGTTATGCAGATTTCCTGGTGAGCAGCGTTATGTGAACCAGGAGTGCACTTTGGGAAGCACGGAGCGCTGATCTTAACATTTAGGTCTTTTGTCAAGAAAACAAAGAAACACAAGCAGGAAAGCAAGGAAGCTGTGAGAAACAGCTGGAAAAAACAACCAAGCAAGAAAGAATGCACAAAAAGCAGCAAAACCGGCAGTTTTGGGCTCACAAATATAAGCAACAAGATGGATTGACAATACATTATTGATGGACAGGAGACCAAGCAAGGGACCGGGGACCAGGGGAGACCAGGGCACCATTGGACCAAGGGACCAGCAAACCACGGGATGAGGGGACACACTCACACATGTTCAATTGATGCGTATTAGTATTGTTGTTTCGTTGATGCGTATCATTTTATTGATGCTCATTACTTTTTCTGATACCTACCCCTCAAAAGCGACAGCATCAACAAATCAAAGATCAAAGAGACTCACTACGCTACCAAAAGACGAGAAGGAACAAAAAAAAAAAGAAAGAGGATTCACAAAGAAGCAATGAAAAGCAAGGAAAAGTAAAACAAGCGAAAAGCAGGAAAAGCACCGAAGCAGTGAGAAGGCGGGAATAGCTTGAAGCGAAGTGATGTCGCTATGTCAAGCGATCCATTTGGTCACTACATGTCACTACTAGTGCTGCCATTCATCAGGATGAAACATGTGTTTTTCATGGAGTCAGCAAGTCTGGAGAGGCTTCTCAGAAGAGGCTCTGAAGCTGCCCTGGCTGGCCCAAAGCAGTGGGTAATAGCTTTGCACAAACGGAAAGTATCGTAAAATTATGACGCGTTCATGGATAAGTTCTCAGCACAAAAATAATCCCCTTAGAATATGCACAAAAGGGACTTACTATGATATAATGTAGACTCTTGATTAATAAACCCCACAATTTGGATTTGTAAAACGTTCACAAGGGGGGTATTAATTAAGAGTCTACATTACCTATGACATACCATGACATATCATTAGTTACAGAGAATAGTGGCTTCCCATGGTGTTCAACGGCATCACTTCAAAACACACAGGTTCAGCCTCACTAGACCTTTGAGCGTCCTATGGTTCGGTCCAGTGAGCCGAACACATTCGGTCGAAATGCCGACATACTCCCCTTGAAAGTGGTGGACGTGGTGCACCAAATGGGGCGTGTGGAAGTGGTGGAGAACCAAGTTGCTAGTGCCACACATCTTCTTTAGCGGGCACCTAATTTGTTTTTAAATGTTCGAAGGTTTGTCATGCGTCTTCATAATATGTCTTTATTGATTGCGGGTCTTCAAGCCACTCTGTCCGGTTGCAGGGTCCCGCTCTCCATCACTGGTCTTGGCAGTTGCTCACACAACGCAAAACTGTGTGCACAAATCACAAATCCCTTTCAAGAGCATGTGATAGGCTCGCAGGAAATCGCTGATGAAATACAGTCCTTTACCTACAAAGTTGTTGTCTGCTGCATACATGTCAACGTCCGGTCGGGGTTCAGCAATCTTGCGGAGAAGTCCGAACCTGTTCACCGAAAACTGGTTGAAAGTGGTGGGGTCATCCTGCGAGTCTGAGGAAGGGTGGTGGCTTCCAACAGTTCCTGTACCGTATGTTAGGGGCTCGGCTAGTCATCTTTGGGTGAGCCAAGGCCAGGACCTCCCTCAAAATGTGAATGTCAACGACCCGATCCAGACTTCCGGTTGGGAGTCAGTTGCTCACTGGAAAAGTATGAACAAATATGATCAGTAAAACACACACAATCCAAAAGTAGTTAAGAATGCAAAACACGTTCTCAATAGTACAATCCTCATCCCCACACACCGGCTCGCCCACAAGGCCTCAAAGGGTCTCGACCAGCTGGTGTGCCTTGAAGGGTGCATACATGAACATCAGGGCGGGTACATGGCATTTTTTGTCTCCTAAGAGGGTACGTGTAACTCCATGTATTCTACCCTGGCATCGTTTTTGGCCCACCCTTACTTGATTAAGTAGGCGCCTACTTAATCAAGTAAGGGCTAAGTTAGCTTCTAGTAACTGGACGCAGGATAGCTCACGCTTCTTCAAGGAAGCTTCTACTGCCTGAGGGCGCGGGGGAGCTTCCTTGTAGAAGCGCTCGCACTAATGATTTGGTTCCTAGATTTTGAGAACTTGCTGTGGGCTGCCTCAGGCAAACAAACGAATCTATTTGTGTGGTGTCTACCTGGCCTTGACAAAGCCACACAGAAATGCCAGGTAAAGTGTGCAAACTATCGCTGGTGTCGTTCTGCTCCTGTACCACTTCGATCAATTTGGGTGGGCAAATCCATCTTAGTCAGGAGCATCTCCGGGCATTCAAAATTGGGATTTCAGTGGTGCAACACCATGCAAAACCCGTGGTTTTGCTATGTTCATCTATGTTCTATGCTCGGGCTGGAATATGCTTGAATCAGGTACTTGAACCCAATCCACCAATCCGTCTGAACCCATCCCCATCCTGGCAGGTGAGGACCCGCCTTCTCGGTGAGCTTTTTCGCCTCTTCCTTGTCCCGTAGCTTGCCTGTGGTGTGACTCTACCTCTACTTGAGCCGTGGGTGAGGCCCATTATTTTTCACAGCTTGGCGATCAACATAATGCAACACCATGCTTCTAAGTAAAGGACGTCATGTAGTCTTTGAAGCGCCCACCTACCTGATTGTTTTCAATGAAGTTCCAGTTCAACTTGTAAGCTACATGCTATTTGAACGTCTTCGCGCGAAACCCGCGTCTTCCCGGGCAAAAAACCTACGGCGTGTGCGAAGAAAACGGCGTCTTAGGCGCCGGCTAGCCAATTCTTGACGCACAAAGGGCAACTCTTCTTGAAGCTTAGCCTCGAGTCACGGATGGTCTCGAGTCACTGAACTCATAGGAGCGAGGACGCTACTAGGAGCAAAGGGCATCGCTACTAGGAGCAAGGACGCTACTATGTTTCCGTTAGCAGCAACACGGAACGCCTTGGGACCGTGGGATGGGAAAATGGCCACAGGGCGAAGCACGCCTGCGGGGCGGGCGTGGCTTGTTTCTGGAACGCCCAAGACTGTTCATCGCCCACGCCTGGTCTTTGGAACCCCATCCCGACTGGTGCAGAACTGGGATCCAATGCATAAAGATGTTGGTCGAGTGCCAACTCTTCTTCCCGTACAAAGGGTGACAAGTCCTTTTTCCAGGATTCCGAGTACAGTATTTATTTTGCAGTCTTTCCTGGAGCCTTCCAAAAGTGTGTCCATCTGGACAGTGTCCATCTGGACGATGCTCAGGTCTATTCCATGTGAAGTTGATAACACTAAAGTTTATATATATAATACATTTGTCAACTGGGGAGTACGGTGCTGTTTCAGATGCAGGAGGTGGCTGTGGCTGTTCCTGTCCCGTGATGGACAGGGGCCAGAATGTGTATATTGTATATGTATGCTATATATGTATATAGATGCAATTTGATCCACTTAGCACATCTTAGCACTACATATTGACATAAACGGTAATCTCGCTGCGTTCATTCTTGGATGGTTCTTTCACCTTCTTGTGTACAAGGGCAACAGCAACGGGCTTTTGGGGTCGGGATGTCTCAACTTTGCACATGGCTTTTTGGATCTGCAAAACCCTTTGTTATGGGATCTGGACCTGCCCTAAGGCACAAAAGGGTACATCTCTCCAATGGCCTACGGGTTTCGACGAGTTTCATCAATTTCCTGTGGTCTCAAAATTTGGTCGGTAGAGTATCTGACCGCTCCAGTGATTGCTGGGTTTTCGCCGATTCTTTGATCATAACTTTGGCTGCCCAGTTGCGTTGTGCTGCAGTGCTTCCTGGCATGCGATGGCTGACGGCAAAGCATGGATGTAAATGTGCGTTACGTTAAAGACTTTGGGAACGCTCTCAAAGAATACTTTTAACTTTTATCTTTGTTCCGATCTACCAGTAGGGTGAAGTAGAGTGCCCTTCGTTTGGAGACTGTGGATCTCAATCCAAATGACTCCAAATGAGGATACCTTGTACCTCACCAATGGGACTTGCTTTCCCTCAAAGAATCAGGGTAGCCAAGGATAAACACATGTTCTCATGATTGTGGCATCTCAAAATGATATGCAGCATAGAAGCTGCAATATTCAGCTGGAGGAGCAGCATGATCTTTCAAAAAAGAGAAACCATGGACACTGGGCACCCTTGGGGTGGCTGCTCTAATAGCGTCAAAAGGAACTTGAGGCTTCCATTATAGTTTCAGGGAGTGTTATATAATATATAATTAATACATACAATATATATATATATAACCGGCTTTAGTTTGGGATTCGGGATTGTCTTCGACAAAGCCAGAACTCCTCAAGCCAACCCTTGCTTTGGCTGTGATACCAATCAAAGATCACAAGTATAGTGGTAAGTCCATATTATAGGACTTTATCGCCATGGCCATTAGGTTGGAGGTCATAGGACTTTACCAGTTTTCTCTGGTCGCACCCAGTCTTGACCCACATTCAATCACATTCGTGTCATGTTGGCTTGAGATTTTGGCCTTTACTGCGTACTTCTAGCTGAGACTGGCATCTGGAAGGGACCGGCTTGTTGTGTAACGTAATGTAACGTACCACTATTTTTTCATAGTTTGAGCCATACCTACCGTAGGTGGACGAATTATTCAAATCCTTACAGGATTAGCCCTCCTACCCCCGCATAGTTCAACAGTTTAATGTTTGCATATTGGTGAAGGAGGTTGGCTTGAGTGGACGAATCAAATCAAACCCCTGACAACAAAAAATTCTTTCACTTATACATTGACATCGGGGCGCTGGGTTGGTGATCTAGCATGTGGTTTAAGGGTTTGATGAATTTGTCCATCTTCTGTAGTTTGCGTGGATTTCGTCATCTGTCACTGCTGACTGGCAAGTTCTATTAACCACCTGAGAAGCTCTTTGGATCAAGGACATGCCAAGTTAAACAACACAAACCTCAAGTGGATAATCAAGGGATTGCTCTAGACATGTGGGGCCATCTGTCCATGTCCCTACCGAGATGATGATATACTGAGACAAAGGTAGGACGGAAACACCACGTGAGCCGCTCGGCATGGTTCGGAGCTATGTCCTTTCTTGGCCAGACATTTGTCAGTCCAAGAAACTGCGAAAGAAGCAAAGTCAGGAACAAGTCAGGAACTCAGGTTTTCTTTCGAACACCTCACAAACAAAGGGTGGATTTGGTTGATTTCCCAGCTTCATCCAATTGAACTTGAACTGATGGCTCCCACAGGAAACTGCGAACTGTTTTTACTTCTCAGGAGCAAGTACGGTTTGCTCGAACTGTGTCTTCTTTCCATACAACAAAAAACAGAACGGTTTGCTCAGTTTGCTCGATCCGAGGTTCGCGGGGAGCCCGCTGGACGGTTCGCCTGGATCTGGTTCTCCAACTCGGTCAGCTCCTGCTGCACCTGATCCAACCGATCCAATGGCGCTACAAGGCTTCAGCTGCGAAGTTCCTTTTGACACATCGGCTGCGACACGAGTCTTCAGAACCCCCAGGCCCCAAGGCCCCAAGGCTGAGGATTGGGTAGCAGCCCTGTTGATTTGGTCCATGCTTTTCTTTAAGGTTTTAAGACAGATAATGTAGCTCGAACATCTGGGAGCAAGGACGCTACTAGGGGCTCCCGGCCGTTAAAACCCACCTGAGCCTCCAGCAGGTTCAAAGTTTAAAGGCCCAAACCACAAAGAAGCATCCAAGTGGCACTTGGACTTGCAGGAGTTAGGCAAAGTACTACTTAAATACTGTAAAGTTGCTTTTCAAAGGAGTTTTGCTCATCCATGTTGAAACACAATTTATAAACAGGAGTAGTATGGATGACGCAACCCTATATTCTACCAAGGAACCCGTCATTTTCACTCTTTAACCACCTTTCAGGCCGCCTTCCCAGCAAGTTGCTCCCGCTCCAACTGGGCCTCAGTGGCAGCAGGTGGCAGTTTTCAGATCAGCTGGGTGGGGAGGTGGATGGACATGACATTGTAAATCCGATTGAAGAAAACACGCCATAACAAGCCTAATCTCTTTGCTAGCAGCTACCTCTCAGAGAAAAGATACGCCAAAATCTATTGACCGCATCAAATGGCCTGGATGATCCTAGGACGGTCCAACAACCCACAAAAATACGACTCAATCCTTTGATTCCAAATGTTTTGAAACCAAATGATGAATCAACCAAGCAAAGGATCAGCCAAGCCACGGCCATCAGGGCATCACGTTCTGCAGTGTACTGGCACGCGAGTCCACGGCCGAGTGTTGAAAACCGTGGAGCGATCGGTCGCGTTTGCATGGCAGCAGGACTGGACATCTAGGAGACCTCTTTTTTCTTTTTTTGGAGGATGGCGTTGGTTTTAGGCGAAGTTCCACGAGTAAGGCGACAAAGGCAATGGGTCATTGGTTCAACATTATATAACTTACTGTGGGTGGACCATGGACCCTGCAAAACAAAGGCTCCGACACTGCTCAAAACACCTTGACCAAAAAATATTCCCCACCGATTTGCACACGTCTGATCCCCTGATTGGAAGACACCACTAAACCCACCTGCCGCGTGTTGATGTTTCTCATCTACTATCTTCCTTGCAACTCTGTTCGATCTGATTGGCGCTCTTCTGATTGGCTCAACGCCGGCGCAGGTGGGGCTTCCCCATGTTTCACCCGTGCTGTCAGTCTGATGTGCAAACTCACAAGTACTTGGATGAGGTGAGAATCTCCATTGGTGACTGTTTCCCTGCGGCACACAATTATGACAAGTTGTCAACCCGCCGACAACTGACACAACGCTCAGACTTTCACTTTCTATGTACAATCAAGGAACTCTGCTGTCTTCGTGCAAGGAACCTGTAAATGAGCGAAGAAAACACACGTTCTTCTCTGGAAATGCAATTTTCAACACCCCTCGTATCCCTGAACAGCCTTGTTTTGACCGCATGTCGGTCCAAACAAAGTCGCTAGAAGGATCGGAGCCGAGTGAAGGGGGGTTCCGGGTTCCGGCTGGCCACATTTTGGAGCTTTGGGATCTGAAACAATGCAGCTAGGAAGGGTGACACTCAAAGATTTTTGATGTAATTACACGAGTCAGAAACTTTCTGAACCCCCTGCTGTCTTGCTCACAACAGTCTCCAGGCCGCCTGATGAAGAGGGCCTCTGAAACTAGCGAGTTCATCTGACCTTACCTTTTGGTAGAGTTCTGCCTCGCCTTAACAATGGTGCATCGAGGTTGCTTCCTCGGGTAACAAAACAATCTAGCTGACTCCAACTCAGTCTTCGAGTCATCTCTCTTCATCTTTGCAGCAAGTGCAGTGTCACAATTGTATGGTCTTTTTGTGAAGCTTGTTGATAAATCCACTTGATGGCCACCTTCGAACGCTGCCGACTTGGCTTCGTTGGCTCTGACGACTACGTTCACTCTGTCTACCAGCTTCGCTTGCCACGGTGCTCCCTGCACTTGCTGCGGCTGCTGCGCTCGCTTCGCTTGCACTGCCAGCAGCGCCCGGGGCCACGCGAGGATCGTCGGGGAAGTCCAAACTTGGAACACTCACCTGCAGGGAACCTAATAGCAATGGCCTCCAACCTAATAGCGATGGCCTCCACTCACCCGCAAGGAGAGATGAACACCATCAGTGTGCAAACATGAATCGACTTCCTCTGATGAACCTGGACGACTTCCCAGCCCAAAGAAAAGATCTGTATCGCTCCCATTTTGTTGGCTCCCCCGTCAAACCCCTCAGACCCATCCTCTGTGAAGCGCCCTGCAACTGTGGGAGCAAACGTCAATATCCCCACCATCCTGCGTAGTGATGGGTCGTGCTCGAGTGAAAGCGAGGCTGAAACATCCCCTGCGCCAACCAAATTGAACGTGAAGGTTGTCTCCTCAGTTGAGCCACAATTTGACGGGAGGAGAATAATATGAACTGGACCCAGGTTGTTTGGTATCTGGAAAGTACTGAAATGCATGAAGGGACATGGCTCTCTGGTTCTGTCTCTCTTTTTTTCTGTTCTCTCTCTCTCTCTCTCGCTCTCAAAGATCTTGGAACCCTCTGAACAACTTGGCACTTGATGGTACTTGTATGTCATCTATTTCTGGAAGGTCGAGGGGTCGCCAGGTTGCCCTCGAAACGCACTGAATCTAACAACAAGATCTTAGTTTTCCCCTGAATTGCTGGTGGCCTCAAAAAGGAGGAGGGTTTAACTAAAAACACTATAAATCTCTACTGTTACAAAACCCTGTGGGGTACAGCAGACACTCCACCGGAGTTGATTGAAACATGCGCGAAACCAAACAAAAACCTAAAGCTACCAGAGCCCCTTGACAGCTCTGAAACCAATTGACGAAAAAAAAGGAACTGCACACAGCAAATTTCCATTAAACTTACGATATACAAAGCTCACCTGAGATGTGGGTGACATTCCTCCAAACCAGGGGACATCCACTTTGGGTGGCGGATATTTACATATATATATATATATACAATGGCCTCCAAGTCTCCTGCTCAGTTCCTGCAGGGTCCTCGCAGTTCTGTTCTTTTGCAAGCTCCACAAGGCGTTGCAGCTGGGAACGCAACACCTCTGGAGCACTGGAAATCTCCAAGACGGTATCCTGGGCTGTGAGAACGTCGCAACCACCATTCCAAGCAAACAAGTAAAACGGCCTTGATCAAAAATATCCTGGCAGGAGAACCCCCACAGATCCAAACAGTGTGTCTATATAAAGGTCTACGGTCTGAAGGTCTAGAAGCAAAAGGTCTAGAGATCTAGACGCATTGGGTTCCAGAGAGAGGTAAACGTGGTGATGGTGGTGGTGGTGGTGATACAGGTGGTGATCTTGGTGATGGTGGTGGTGGCGAGGTGGTGGAGATGATGGTGGTGATGATGGTGGTGATGGTGGTGGCGATGATGGTGCTGATGGCGGTGATGGTGGTGGCGATGGTGGTGGAGATGGTGGTGGAGATGAAGATGGTGGTGGGGGTGATAGTGGTCATGGTGGTGGCAGTGATGTTAATGGTGGTGGTGGTGATGGTGGTGTGGTGGTGGTGATGGCGGCGGCGGTCTAGGGGTGGAGGTCTAGAGAGCACACATATGCAAGGATGTTAAGGCACGCGCACATGGGGCACATTTGCTGTGCCTCCCACGAAGTCTGCACTTCTGCGCCTGCCATCAAGCCTACACTTCAAGGTCCATAAAATACTGCGCCTGCCACGAAATCTGAGGCCGGAGCACTTCCAAAGACAAGATCAAGATGCCAAAGCGCAGCTTTCGCTCGAGACTTCCTCCGACTTCTGACAACGAACCGCATGTCTAAAAGTCACGAGTCACTGCACCTGCCATGAAATCAGAGCATGCCGAAGACCACCACCGTGTCCAAAGTATACTGCACTCCGATCTCCTGCACCTGTCGCGAAAGTCGACTTAGACCACCAAAGCACGAGGTTCCCTTGCCACAAAAAGTGATCACCAAGTCGAAAAATGTGCACGGCACCACAACGAGTCGAGAAGAACACCCACGCCAGCCCACCAGATTCTGTGAGCCTGCGCAGTCGAAATGCACTTCGAAGATCTCGAGGTGAATGAATGTACTGTAAATAGCAGCGAATTAGCCGGACACGCCGATGAGCACCTCGATCAAACACCCGTCCTTAACAACTACCGCAAGAACCCCTAGTGTGGACACACTGTTTGAGGAAATATCAAAGAACCACAAATGATGCTTTGCCAGGTAATTGGAATTCATCTGTGTTGGAAGGATGGTAAGAATGGCTTGGATGTCTTTCTCTTTCGAAAAATTCCGGGTCCCATGTTGATGTTTGTGAACAAGGCCTAGGGTCAAAACCAAGTATATAGCTGTCCGACTTTCTTCAGGATAAAGTGAACCTCCTGATCTACCCGTGGGTTGAGACCATGCTGAGACCACCCCAAACACCTATTAGATCAACACGCCCAGCAAACCATTCCATTTACAGTAATTATCTCAGGTTGGTACGGGCACATTCTGTTATTGATAGTTTACAGAGTCTACAGGCATTTGTCAATCCAAGACTCCGGACTCTTGCCGAAACGCTCCTGGTACAATCGGTCCATTGCACTGCTGACAATGAACATTTCAAAGCTCTCAACATCAAATGCCATAAAAAGGTCTTCGCTTGCCACCACCTCCCTAGAACCTCCAAGTGGGTACAGTCAGGGGCCGTCGGATCAGCTTTGCACACAAGGGAACAGAACTCACATCCCAACAGAACGCCAAAAGTCATCAAAAGCGTTGTTGACAGCTTCTACACCCGTCTACGCTCTTGGCTTGATGTTTGATGGCATGTGGAACCGAAAGAGTGATTAGCCTTTTTTGGTCCGCTCTGCTCTCCTACTCAATCAAGTAGGCGCCTACATAATTAAGTAAGGGGCAAAGTTAGCTTCTAGGCAGGATGCAGGATAGCTCACACACTGACTAATGATTTGGTTTCTAGATTTTTAGGAAACTTAACAAACTCAAGATTGGACAACTCAACTTAAAGTCGCTTTCTCATGTACCCGGGGTCATTTGAACACTTGTCCAAATTGAGCAGGGCAATCTGAATTGTTTGAACTGCCCAGGAACAGCAGCTGGAAGTCGCTTGTGGAATCAGTAGGGGTTCATCTGAAAGCTCGCGCAAGCCAACCAAAAAGAATCGCTGATTTGCAAGGCTTCGGAACTGAGCATGGAAGAGCTCCACTTTCACAGGACGCTGATCCTTGGGTGTTAAAGGATACCTCTTAGCAAAAGGTTTCAGTTTCAGTCTATTTTGCACCACATGTTTTGGGTAATTGGAAGAATCAAATCTAATCTAGATGGAAGATATGTGATATAGATAATGTATATTATATATATATATAAAGCGTATAAAGCTAACTAAATATGACATATGGTGGGCGGATCTTTCCAGCCTGACCATGGCCCCACCGGAGATGTTGTCCATTCAAGACATCCAAGGATCCAAGGTCAACATGTCAACGTGCAGCGCCATCACAGAGGTGCTCTCTGCGTTGATAGAGCTTTGAACTTGCTGTGAGATGCGCTTTTGGTCCTCCTTTGTAAAGAAGTCCAGCAAGGATCTCCTCACCTTGCGGTGGTGCTACAAAAGCTGGACTGGCCTTGTCCTCTTCAAGCCACCCGCAAAAGACAGCCAAAGAAGGCAAATCAAATCAAATACATATGGGGTGAGTTTTGAGGAGAGCCAAGGTATGCGGGGGCACACATTC